TTTTTTTCGGTTGTTCTCGGAGAGAAATACATCAGCTTTATATCACTCAACAATGAAAAGTGATATCAAAAACTATCTGCGTAGAAGAGAATTATATAACGAAAATGAATATGAAGCTTCGAAATTGCCGAGTTTTACAATCCAAGTGATTGCCGAGGAATCGATTTCATCGCTGGATCAATTCCTGAACGCGATACTGAACAAAATAGCAGACTACAGGTGTATGGCCAATGTATTCAGTCTCCTAAACGCAGAGAAAGCAAAATATTACCTGCCTCATGTGCAACGATCATTCACGGTGGAAGAATTTTTGACGAAAAAAATAAAATCGCATGCCCTTCCCCAGTCGCCGTCACTCTTAAACAGAAATAAATATTCTATAAACTCAAGCATAACCAATAAATATTCAATCGATAGTTGCAAATACGTTTCGTTCTTGTACGACCACTGTGTTAATGCTTTCAACATCGTCAAAAATGCCGGTCAAGTGTTGTATCAGTACGAGTTTTTTACCAATATTAAAACAATCACCGGCGATATAACGACTCATTTGAGAATCATGTTTTTTAGCGCCGAGTACTATGACACCATGCTCAAACAGATCTCGTATGATATAGTTCCGATGCAGGATATCGTCTTCAAATATATCCATAAAAAAAACATACATCCTTGGAACACGGAAGTGGTGCCATACTTGTACGTGATTATGACGTCATTGAACAATTACCAGTTGAGTTCCTGCAAATCACAGGCGAACACTTATCTAGTGTTTAACAAGACCAACTCTGATACAAACCCCTCGCACCTGCACCACAAAGAACTGCAGAAGATTTTGAAAAAAATAAGCTTTGACCCTCAGGCGGACAACACATACGGTATCCAGTTATCAGTACTCAAAAATTTGTACTCTTTCTACGAATTCCAACTACAAGTAATAAAGGATCAAATCGTTTTCAAGAAGTATATACTTTTTTATTGGAGAGGAGAAATTAAAACTTTCGAAAACATTTTCAACAACATACGCTACACCGTTATGAACCCGTCGTACATGTACGAATTAAACGACATTTATTACAAACTCGTTTTGGCCAAGGTATTATACGAAATAGAAATATTCTTTATGCCATATAGTAATTGGAATGATAATACGTTTGTATTAGAAGATGAAGATATACTGAACTTGAGTACAGACATTCTGTCCGTTAATGACTATCCTAAATCATATAAATATCTTGTTCAGCAAATAAATTTATTATTTAAATATTATTTAGTAAATATAAAGATGAACCACAATTTTCCTATGTGTAGAACTATAAGAAAAAACGTAAAAGAGGAATTCGAAAGATTAGGAGTTATCGTAAACGTGGTGCAAATGGAAACTCCCAATAATGTAAATCCGCTATCCAATGAAGAATTAACTACAATTAAATCCAATATCGAGAAAATAGTTGAATCCAGAGCATATGTAAGCCAAGAATTTATAGGCAAATTTTTGAACCAATTTAATTTTGAACCAGTTTAATTAATTATTTTTAGTTAATGATAACAATAAGATTTTAATGTTTCTTTGATAATGTATATAATTTGCAAATGTTTTATATCGTTCCTAGTCAACAAATCTAGTGGTTTGTCAAGAATTTTAAATAAATAGTGCAAGATTAAAATTTATAAAATTATCTGAACTACCATAAAGTGATTAAAATAAAATTTATTTAAATATTAAATTGTTTATTTATTATAAAATTAATATATACGTAAAGTATTTAATACTTTTCGTAAATATAATGATAAATGGTTTGCTTCTATTATTTGCCAGGTATAATAATTTAAGAGCTTAGTGTTGCGTTAAATTCGGACTCGTGTATCAGTTAGGTAATATTTTTAATGTTTTAAAATGGTTCATGTAATCTTCAGAACGTTGAATAATTGTAGTTTACTTTATTTGTCATTTGTAAATATCTTGTATATAGTGGATCAGTATCACTTTTTCGTTCAAAACTACTCATGGATTAAGGCATGGTCGATAAGCTATAATAATAATAGGTATATAGACTGATTGTTTTTATCGTGAACTAGTAATAATTTCGGTTAGGAATTTAAAAAATAATTTTTTTTAACTTTCTTGGTTTTACTGTTTTGCATTTTGTTATAATTTTGATATTTTAATTGTCCCCATTACTTGATAAGAAAACTATCAATTGATAGTTAATTGATAATTCAAATGGAAATTCTTATTTTCGATAACGAAAATCTATAAGTACATTGAAAATATAATTTAAGTTTACAGGTTTAATTTGAATAATCTTTTTGCATTGTATTAACGTTTAAATATTCGTTCAATTTATTGGTATCTTGCATTCTATTAAACCCAACACTTATGAACAGTAGTCAAAATAAAATGTTATCCAAATTAGACAAACTTTGATTAATGTATATTTCTCAAATAATGTTTAAACTAGAGCCCCATATTTCTATTCATATAAAAATTCAAGATCGCTTTTTTGAACTGATGGTTCTTGTTTCAAATTAGTGTTTTGGGTTTTAAATTTTTCAAGTAAATCTTTTACAATCTTTCAAATTTTTTCTCTTGCACTAATCGGTTCAAACTCTAAATCTTTATATCGAGGATCTAAAAAATATGCGATTTGTTTGACAGAGACAGAACTCATTTCATTCCAGTCAAGTTTAAATCGTTCTTTAATTTCCATGTTTAAATCGTTCTTTAATTTCCTGTATTATTGTACGTTTAAAATTCGTGACATTTTGATCATCATTTTCTTTTTGTTTTAAATGATTTTCCATTAATTGTGCAAGTAATGGTCTAACCATCGACGCTGGCGATTGTTTCTCGGAACAAAATAGATTAGTCACAATATAAAGTAGCTTAAGAGAATTTCTAATTTTAACCATTGTGATTCTGTTATTTCTAATTTCTAAGATATATAAAAAGACGTAACTGTTCTGTTTGTTAATACATTTGAAATTGGGGTTCTATTTTGTTAATGGCGGTCTAACATTAAGTATACTGAGTTCCATCATGTTTTACAATACTGAATCAATGACTGATGAGAAATTCCTAGCTGTTCATGTTTTTTTAACAATGACTGTTAAAAATTAACTGTTAAATAACTGTTAATTAACTGTTATGTTTAGCTACATTTGAATGTTTGAAATGCCAGACTAAAACACTGCATTGTTTTATTAATTCTGAAAATGTTTCATCTTTTAGTGCAGTACTAATGGCTAACTGTAGACTGTGAGCTGCACATGTCACATCCATATTTTCATTTTTTATAGTAAGAGGTAGTAATTTGATAGCATTTAATACATTTTTTGCGTTATCTGTGATAACAGTTGAAACTTTACCATTAATTTCTTAGTCATCTAATATACATTTTAATTTTTCTGCTAGATTTACTGCTGTTGTCGTTCTTCCATCTCTTATGTGGCTAAAGTGAATGACTTTGATATCCATTGGTTATCTATTATGTGAGCAGTTAATGGTATGTATGAGTTTTGTGCCATTGAAGACCAACCATCAGTGGTACAAACTATACTTTTCACATTTCTTAATTCACTTTTTTTTTCCTTAACTTTGATTTCAATGAATATAGCCTTTTTTCATTGCTTCATCTCGGCATACTTAATAATTAAGCTCTACAACAGCCATCAATTGACAAAACCCAGGACTCGAGCAAAACGATATAGGTAACTGATTCATTGCAATCAATGAAGCCAGCGCTTGATGAATTTGTTCTGTTCTTTCATAATCACACTCTCGATCAACACCAGATCCACATTTTTTAGGAATACAATGACGTTTTCTAGATTTAAATTTTTCAATATTTTCAGAATTTGAAGAAGATGGTGTTGTATCATTAACTAGAATCGTATCATCATCTTTATTGGTAAAAGTTGTAATATTCAGTTCAGAATATACTCCTTCTAAATCATTAGATACACGTTTGAACTCCAATTTGGACCTAAAAAACTTATTTATTTATATAATAAATATTAATGGATTATGAAAATTTGACACAATTAAAATGTAAAATACCATATTTAAATTCAAACCTTAATTTATTTTTAATCTTATATTTAATAAAAGTAGAAAAATTTCATATTTTGATTTTTCTGAAATTCTATAGAATTTCAGATATTAAATTAAAATTCCTGAAAAAATACGGGTATTCATAAAATTATTTTGCTCACAAAAATATAGTATTATCTAATACAAACTGTGAATTAGGTAAATAACTTTTTTCAGTAAAATAAACTTTTTATTTATTTATTTTTTATTAATTCATTTACGGAATAAAAATTCCTTATTTAGTACAGCACACAACATTAATTCAGTAATATAAGGTAATTAATATATACAAGGGGCTAAAGAGCAGTAGACATTCTTGAAAGATCCAGACAGTTTGAACTCATTTATGGTGCGCATTACGAAGTTAAGCGATTTGAGGGCTCGGCAGTAGATGGAGTCAATGTGAGGGCAGAAGTTAAGATCAGCAGTGAAAAGAACGCCCAAGTCGCAATTGCTTGTAACTCTACCAATCACTGAACCATTGATAGTGTAAGAATAATCGATTGCCAACCAGCGCCTGGTGAAGGACATAGCTTTGTATTTATTAGTATTAAATTGGAGGCCAAGAGTGCAAAACTATAATCTAATGGAATCTAACTCATTCTGAAGTGCGAGACAGTCAGCTTCAGATTCGACTTTTCAGAAAAGTTTCAGGTCGCCAGCGAACATTAAGAATTTACATTTAAGAACAGCCTTCGTAATTCCATTTATAAATAACGAAAAAAACAGGGAATACAAGTGACCACCTTGGAGAACACCAGATGGAACAGGGACAGCAGCAGATTTTAATCCAAGCACTTTAACCCACTGCACACGATCGGACAGGTATGATTTAAACCAGGACAAAATAGGTACGCCAAAACCGGACTTATAGAGAATGTCAATCAGGATAGCGTGGTCGACACGGACAAATGCTTTCGCAAAATCAGTGAAAACCACGTCTACCAGGAAGCGATTTTCAAATGCCTCGAGGACGAAATTATTAAACACAATTAAGTTCGAAACGGAAGAACGTCCAGGTCAGAAACCATATTGTTCGTCGAATAGTACAGAGTCAACCGAGGGCTGAATGGATTGCAGTACTAAGTGTTCAAAAAGCTTAGCATTATGACTTAGAATTGAGATAGGTCGATAATTCGTGACGTTAGATTTGTCACCAGATTTGAACACAGGGGTGACTGAACTGATTTTATACATAGATGGAAAAATTCCATCGTCCATTGAGCGCCTGAAGAGTAATCATAGAGGAAAACAGAGGACAGATCTGATGTTATACAAAAAGGTCCCAGATATACTATCAGGGCCAACGGAGTTTACATTTTTTAGTGCAGCTAACCCATTCTCGACATCATCGATACTAAAGATGCAGTCAGAAGGTAAAGTATGCTGCGCAAATGGAATTACAAGTAGACTACTTATTGAGGAAGGCACATAGACTGAGTTAAAGTAAGATGAGAAAAGACTGGAGATGGATTCAGGATCAGTGGCACTTTGATCATTAAGGTGGACAGAGTTAGGAATACCATTGTTAGACCTATGTTTACGTACAAAGTCCTAAAATAAACGAGGATTAGTTTTAAGCATGTTTTCAGTGTTATACAGAAATGTTTTATAGCATTTTTTTATAATAATACTTTTACTGAGCGCGCAGGTTAGAGAACTTGTTGTAGTCAACAGCGTTGCGTGATGCTTTGTATTTAGCGTGCATTTTTTTCTTGGCAAAAACAATGTTCTTAAGATCTTTAGAGAACCAGGATGGAAATTTAGAAGGTTTGAAAACAACTAAAGGTACAAAACTTATATTACAGAAATGCAATGCATCGTACAGTGCACATGTATTAGAATCAATATCGGTTGTTGTTAAGGTTTCTAACCAGTTAAACGATGATAAGAAGGCGCTAATACGAGAATAACAGGCTTTACGAAAATTATAATATTTATGACAACAATCAATGGAAGGTAAGTCATCTACAAAAGTAAGCATAATATCTAAGGCTGGGTGATAGGGATCGCAAGCAACCACCCCAGTAATGGATTTCTCTATATTGATCCGAGAATCATTGGAAAAAACTAAATCAAGGAAATTATCATTAGAGTTGGGTATGAGATTTAATTGGAAAAAATTATTATATGCGAAAACGTCAGGAACACAGTGGATTGCAGGGCCAGAGGAAGAATAAATTAAGCCAAAATCGTCATTAGACCAGGATAAATCAGGAAGGTTAAAATCACCAGAGAATATAAATACGAAACCAGGATTAGCGTTGATAATATATTGAGCAGCAGACATAAAGGACTCATATACCGGGATAGGGCTACTATGAGGAATGTACATGGCACAAACAATATAAGCAGTATTATTTACATAAAATTTAACGAATAAATATTCAACATTGGTAATGAGTGCTGGTAACAAGTTATGGACCACATCGTTGCGAATGGGAACGAGAACTCCATCTCCTCTACTGAAATTACTGGATTGACTATTTCTATCACACTTAAATACAACGTAGTTGTGTAAACCTATTTCAGTGTCTTTGTTTTAGAGCCTTAATAATTTTCAAATCAAAACAGTTACCGCTAGCCAAGATGAACTGGACAAATTTTACGAATGATGTTCGTATACTTCACAACTGCTGCGCAAAAGACAGATATCGAAAAATACACAACAAATTATATAGTAGTCGAAATAATAAAATTATAATAATGTAATGTGACGACGATTTGAGTGAGTGGCGCACGCAGTGGGGGGGGGGGTTAAGTAGTTGTAACCCTCCCCCAATATTTTCTCCGATGTTTAGGTTAAAATTTACAAATTTTACAAGTTTGAAATATGAAGAGCTAATACTGAATACCTAGTATCATTGATTATAGAATAGTCTATTATTCTATTATCAATGCTATTATTTAAGTCAAAATATATTAAGCAATTGCAACATTTTGTTAATTGTAAAATGTATTATATTTTTACCTAGACTCCTCTCCGAAAAAAAATCTGTGTCTTGTGTCTGCCACTGATTTGAGTACGTGCAATATTAATTAAAAAGAGAAAAATAGGCTTATAAAAAAACACGAACGGTAAAATAAAATGGTGAACAGAAAAAAGACAATTTATACGAGGTAAACGTACAACGTGACGAATAGTATGTGTTATGAATGTGTGTGTGCACGTGTGTGTATGTACTGTTGTCGTTGACCGTGAAAATGGTTTATTAATAAATTGTAATACGGCGTAGCGCGATTTGATGTGATTTTATCAGACCTAAACAATATTACTATATTGCATATATAATATCTGAGCGGAATTTGATTATTTTATATTTGCATACATCGAGGTCAATATTTAGGACATCAAGTATTTAAGAAAATTAACATTTATTTGAATAAATAATTAAAAATATATTTTATTAATTTCCTTTTTTCTATGGATTCTTGTGGTGGTTTAAACCATGAACACTTTCTAAATGTCTTATTAAAAACCCTGTAGTGCCACCTACACAAGAATATTCATTGTTACCTTCACCGTAACATAAATTGCAAAAGGCACGATCTCCTTCACGTTTGGCATAATCCCATAACTAAATTTTTCTTTTCACCATTTTCACCAAGAAAACTTTTATTTTTTAATGAATATGGTCACTTAAAGGTTTCACGCAAACTAAACGCGTCGTATACTACGTCAGTGTTTTCCAACTTCTTTTACCCGCGGAACCTTTACACGAGATTGAACGTTTTGTGGAACCCCAATATTTTTTTTATAATTTTAATACAGGCAAAGGTTTAGTACATTTAAATGAGTGGGTTATCGGACACTTCCGGCACAAGAGTGTCCACTTCCGGCACAAGAGTGTCATTAATATAAAAAAAAAGACGGCTTTAACATTTTATTTTGTTTATTACTATTACAATATTATAAATGTAATATTAAAGCTTAAAATTTAATATTTGTCTCTCATTACGTCTAAGATAGATTCAATGAGAAGATTGGAATATTTTCATAGTTTTTTTCATAACTGTTTTTAAATCTGGAGTTATTCCTGAAAGTGAGATTTGTAAGTCCGAAGTCGCGTTCAGTTTCAAAACTTATTCTTTGTCTTTGTATACACCGAAAAGCTACAAACTAATGCACCTCATATCGGGAAATGTGTCAATTCCAGTTCAATGTTGAGTTCTATGTTCAAATCATGGTCAAAATCAAAATATTGCTAATTAATTTATATTTTCTTAAATTTGTCACGGAACCCTTCGCGCAAGCTCACGGAACCCTTAGGTTCCGCGGAACACCAATTGGGAAACACTGTACTACGTTAATAGCTAATTATTATCAAGGTATCGATAGTCATGAAAAGAGGATTTTTATTGCATACATATAGGAATTTTTATTCGTATATAAGATAATTGTTTACGATTGTATATTGTACAATTGTAACTTGTAATGTTTAATCAAAATTATGGTATCAGTGTGCGAGTTCTATTTTCGCAACCGGACGCGATGAATTGGCACGAGCACATATAGATTTCCCGGCACACCACTAATTATCCAACAACTAGATAATTCATACGCGACGGGCACTACAGAGTTTAATAAAAGATCATGAAACTAATCAATAAAATTATAAATACATTTTCAAATAAAATAAAACAAAATAAACCGTACCTAAAATCGGTTTTTGTAATGCAATACATGACCACCATGTAGGCATCATTAACAAAATTAACAAACTCTTTTTGTCTTATAAATAACTATTTTTTATTCAATCATATTTTTGATTAATGCCAATTCACGTCAATATGATTCAGATACGTGCTCATGTGATTAAGCTTTCGTTGATTGCCGTGTATTAACCATATGTGATTCATTCACGTGATCACGGTATACGTGAACACGTACATTCATATTCACGTACAAAAACAAGACTCCTAGTTTAAACGTATAATCACAGATGGTTAAACCTTTAATTTCAATGCATATTTTTTGATGTTTTAATATTGTACTTTGGTTAAAAACTTATTTCAAAATATACATATGTCCTTCTATCCGATCATCATTATTATGTATGGAAATTAGATTTCATCCATTTCAGACAACTTTATATGTATGATTTATTGGTAAGTTTAATCAAAAATGAATAAATTGAAACTTTTTTTATTCCATGATACATATTATCAAGGTTGAGCAAGTTAATTATATATTTAACTCAGTTAATTTAATTGAGTTTATGTTCAATTAAGTTCAAAATTAAATTAATTCACATGAGAATTACATTAGTTAAGTTAAAAATTAAATTAAAAAATATCATAAACTTAATTTAACTTAAATTAATAAGTTAATTAATAGAAATAAAAATTATTTACATTAAGCGCTCATCTAAGGGATATATATAGTGCAACAATTTTTAATTAACATGAATGATAATGAAAATGCATAAAAATCTTGTTTTTCATAATATTAATAATAAAATATTAATTATTAATAATATTTTTTATCTAACATTAATTCGAGTAGAAAAATATACATTTCTTCATTTGGATTGTTAATAAGCACTCAAATGTCAGATTTACGATAATTTGCGGAATCGTAATGTAATCATTACAATACTATTGGCCTTATATTAACAAAACGTGAAGGTATATATAAAAAATTAAAAGTGATTAAATAAACATAACTTTAATTTATTATTTATTATTATGGTATAAGTATAAGTCCCAATTATTATGCTTTCCTTGAATCTTGAATATTTTTCTCAGATATGTTCAATTATTTATGATTTGTACTTTTGTAGTGAATTGTAGACATCATAATATCATAAGAAGTTTATTGATGAACATTTAGAGCATTTTCTTTAATTTTTTCTGTTACGAAACATATTTTATTTTTTACCAGTTTTTTTTAAATAAATTACATTTAATTTGAGCAATATCAGTTAAAATATTGGCCCCTTACTCTTAAATTGAAATTGTAGAGCCCCGTTTATAACCCTACCCGGCAACTCTCCAGCGCACCTCTATAATCATCAGTAATTATAAAAGTTTACAAAATTGCGACTGAAACCCGATTGAGCACAATCTGATTTTGAGCGCGGTTGAAATCAAACTCTAGGAATGGAAAAAACTCCAAAAAACAATATGATTGTGCACGGAAATAGGTGCAAAATTACCCTCCTTGTACCGTAGAATATTATTATTAAAAAAATAAAAAATAAAATAAATTTGAATATAAATATTTATAAATTAAAATTTTTTATTGGTTTTTCTCGGCCCAGTAAACCTACACTTGAAAGCTGCCAACTCTTTGTCTCTCTCGGATAAAATAATTATAAATTATAAACATATTAGCGTACAGTTTGTAAAATACACACTATTTTCAAAGGAACGCGAGCACGAGATAACAGAACATGTTGGCTGTGACTAAGTCTTATTTACAGCGTAAGTACATACAATAAAATTTAATCACAATTTAGTGCAATCGCTGTAAATAAAGTTCAGGTTACCTATCTATCCCAGTTATTTTCAACTTCCGTGGTTACCTACCGATCGATAGCAAAATTCTTTTCAACTAATATGTCAGTTACCTATTGTTAATCTACACAATATTCGTACTAGTGAAAATCTGACTACGTTATACACAATATTTAATTTTTTAACGTGTTCAATCATTTCAGAATGTATACCTTCATCGAAAGATTTGCGATTTTTACAATATTTCGATAATGTATTTTTATAATATATGAATTTATATACTGTGTATGATAAGTTTTTTAAGAAACTTGATAAAATAATAAAATTTCGTTATTTTGAATGTTTAACTAAAAATAATAATAATAATAATAATAACATTAATAATAAAACAGTGAATTTATTATTACAAAACAAGGAATAACAGTCATTTATTGATATGCCCAATGTTGTTTTGACACTGTGCTGGACACAATTACCGATTTTAATTTTTGATGACCGAGAAATGTTAATCAGCGATGCAATCGAATTTCCAACATAGAAAATGAAATCAACAATTACAATTACCATGTGTGCTCAACAATATCGGAATGCGTTATAGAAATTATTTAATTTATCTGGTTCTTACGTATCGCAGCTCTTCAAATATTGTCGGTACAAACACCAATATTTCTAAAGCAAATCGAATACCGACGTAAGCCTATATGTAATTGACATAATTCGCTTCCAAGTAGTTTTCGTCAAAATGTGGTGGGACGGCAAATTGTTTTATTTTTGCTTATATTGTACGATGATAAAATGTTACGACGAATCGGATAAATTGTCAAAGTCAAAAAGTGCTGCCGCGATAAAGAAGATACGAGTCACTCGGATCAATGAAAATACAAGCGAATGTCTTATTGGTAATAAAAGGTTTGAAATATATTTTTATGATACTAAAGATCCTACGTATCGGAACTATAATGATGAAACACCTGCCATAATATCTTATACATGTATAAACTGTGCATTTGCTATTTGGACTCTCGACGAGTTGTTCCGATTCGTCAGTAATTTCCCGTTATTGTATCAACCAGAGTTCGTAAACGTAGAAAACGATCTGATTGGAAAAAACTTTTCACTCTTCTTCGACATCTTAACTCGCGTGAGAAAAGAAACGAACAGTTTTATTAATATTTTATTGAATTTCGTTGAATCCGATTCGTCCGTTGACACGGACTTCTTAAAGACTTTATTGATATTAAATTTGAAAATAAATTACATACACATCATGTACAACAAGAAAAATTATGACATAGATGGAAATCCGTTAAACTCGCGTGTTAATATTGACGAACTTCAGACGGATGCATCAGACGATTTCATTGACGAAAATTATGAAGAAACCGACGATCCGTTTGAGTTATATGGCGATGAATACTTAAAATCATTCGGAGGGATTATTGGATCGGACGATGCTGTAGTCCGTATGATTCTCGAGACGATGAACTCAATTCAACATTTCATTATTATAAATTGCAAATTTCCATTTTCGTACTATAGTAATAAGCCGTTTTATGGTTTTACCATGACTCAATTTGATTCGGAAAAATTTGATATAACACAATTTCTCGAAGATATCAGACCAATAAACTTAGAAACATTATATGAAAGTGATATCGAGCAAATTATGTTATCATCATTTTTCTCATCGAGCATCAAAGGTGCAGAATGGGATACGGGCGATGGAAAAGTTTTAATCGAATACGTTTATCAAGAAGTTGAAAAATCAATTGACCTTGAAATAGTATTCTGGTATCAAGAATTAATTTTCAAAACCATTATGAAGTTGGTATTTAGTATAATTATGAGGCATTTGAAAAATATCGAATGGCTATCGATTGATACTTTAAACGATTTCAAGTACGTCCAATCAGAAATATTATCCATCAATACCAATTTACCGGCCAATTTGACGTATTCGTTTGAGGAGTTCATATTGAATCAGAATTTATTCAACAGAAATCAAATGATAAATGAAATTGAAACCTATCTCATTTCACTTAACGACATAACAGTAGACTGTGAACGTTTCGCCACGCTAGCCGTTCTCGTGTCTCACATTAAATCGATCAATAAAGATTTTCGATGTTTTTTTCGGCTACTTGAGTTCTTACGCAACCAATACAACTTATATTACATTCCTTTCAGGAATAATATGATAAAAATACAATCTTTCATGCACAAAATCAAACCTGAATCGAACGAAAAGTGGTTAACGTCTGAGCAAGCACAACGGCTAAGGGCGGACGAAAGCACACGGAAAGCTCTCGACTCTGTGAAATGCAATTTTGTCATAAGTTTATATCATTATTGTTTCGAAGCTACGATAACCATAAACTACGCGCTAACCGGGTATCTAACTAACAACAGAGAACAATATTATACCGAAGCCGGGAATATGCTTAGCTATGTCAAACAAATTGCGATTGACTTAATAAATAAATCATGGGATCTCCCACTATTTAAAATGTTGTATAGCATTGTCCCTCTATTGGAGACCTATTTACAAACGACTCTTGATGACAACTATGCCGAAAACCTAAAACGTCTAGTCCATGTGATTATGGCCGAGTTAAACAAGTATGGTATTGCATTCTGTAAACCACCGGATTATAACTTCTTGTTATTTAACAACGTGAATTTCGACAAGATTGGTAAATTATCGACACAGGTCAACAAGGACATTAAGACGTCTATGGACGTTCTTCAATCGGATAACATTAAACATAAACACACGGGTCTGAAAACTTTGTATAAAACTGTGGACGATAGATCCGCTGATCTAGCGGTATATGATAAAATAATTAAACTTAAATGGAAAGGTGGAGAATTTAATATTACAAACGTTTACAAGCACATTACATCTGGTATATTGAACTCTTTATATTTATACGCATTTTATGATTTATGTTTTAAATTTTCTGTTGCAGCAATATTTTATGAATCGCGTTATACGTACAATGGTTGCAAAACAGATAAGCCCTCCAATGATGATTGTGCTCAATTATATGAGCAATTAAAAACAACCTTACATTCACTTAAATATACATTTCCGAATAGATTTACAAAAACTATAACCGATATTCGCGAATATTTAAGAAATGCATACAATTCTTGCTGTAATGAAATTTATATAAACCATCAGCTGGAAGAAAAAGGCGATAATATAACTAATGATTTATACGTGTTGGGGATTTCTATTAATTTTGAAACATCAAAATTGATCGTTCCAAAACCACCACCAACAGTAATAAAAAAATCAGAGTCCAAATTTTTCACCCGGAAGCGAAGTACAAAGTCGGAGGCACAACCGAAGCAACAGACTGTTCAGAAATCTATTTTTAAACAAAGTTTTGACAGAATAAATAACGTATTACAATTCGTAAGTTCGGTTAGTCAACAATTCGACAATATAAATACATTTGAGGAGTATTCATCATCGTACTCAATTTCATTAACATCGGAAACGTATCTTACAGTCCTTTGGAATCTTATCAATCATCAATCATTGACACCGACTTGATAGTAATTCGGAAAAGCTAGTCTCCGAAAAAATATATTTATAATAACTAGGGGTTAGATTTTTATGATTTTACATATTTGTTTCTAGTCTATGCAATTAAATGGGAGTGAAATATCTTCACTATTCATGGATTACAAAATTCACAGAAAAATATGTATTTTGCATAAAAAAGCATATTTTAAGAGTTACGGAATATTCAATGCGTTGGAAGATATTTGAGAATATTTTGTAAACATTTTTATTTTTGTTAACTACAAATATAATTTTTTCGAAGGAAATAATTTATATTACCTATTATTTGTCTGCACATCCATGCATGTATTATGTACATCGGCATTTTGATAATATTGATCAATAAATACAATATCCATAATTTGAGTTATTTTTATATTTTTCTGAGTTGTTATAAAAATGAATCACTTGATATTAAGGGTAACCTATGTATGGTTAAAATAAATAAATAAAAATAATTGTTTGGTTATAAAAATCATGAAGTTACTATTTAACATAAAATATGTAAAATATTAATCAGTATATTTAAAATTTTTTAAATATATTATGATTACTTAAAACGAGTGAGAAATAGTATCGTTATTCGCGTATATTCACTTCTTCGCTTCTTCACTTTAGCTTATACCTAATTGTTCAGAATTCAATACTACCAATAATCTTTAATATATGATGAAAATGAACCAGATGAAACTCAAGAAGAAACTGCTTAATACGAGTCAACCAGAAGCCCTATAAAGAAATACAATAGTACTATAGAATATTATTTTATCTAAAATAATTACCAACAGTATTATTTACGTTAATATTCACTTAGATTTTGATTTATTATAAAATATTGTTTTTGTGGTTATTATTTCACACTTAATAGTAGTATCTTATAGTATTACTGTACATAATTGAAGGGCTTCTTCTTGAGTTTTGTTTGGTTTATTCCCTTCGTCTTCATCATACCAAATAATCAGACAAACTGTTATCATGAAATTGCATTTTAAAAATATTTCTGAGCTATTTTTTTAGGAAATTAACCACAGTATTTTTCTATTCATAAAATAAAATTGACCAAATGACATTGTTGCTAATAATAGTATAATATTGTGACGAAAGTAAAACTATAATTGTATGGTAAAGGTAATTATCGCATCAAATGCATTTCATATTATCAACATAATAAAAAGTTATATCTGATGAGCGATGAAAGTAGAGACCAAGCGTTATGTGTTTGACACTCCATATGAGTGATATGATCACTCATTACCAAACGGTCAAAGGTCAATTAATTAAAAGGAACAGTAGCGCTTGTGTTACTGAATGGTTTAACTATCGGTTTTCTCATACCGTACACCCACTTATAGTTATTTAGACCCCAAAATGTCGATTAGCTCATTTCATATTTTACCATAAAACATTAATATGAGAATTTAATATTGTTATTAATATATTATAAATAATTTATTCATTATCAATCACGATTAGTGTACAACTTAATTCGTAAAAGGCGGAAATATTTTTTATTTATGATTTACTTAGAGCACAATAACAATATTATTTAAACATATAACTTTGGATGATTGTTCTAAGCACTAGATTCGTAATAATTTATGCGTTGGTTTTTAATAGAAATAAGTAATGTTACGAATTTATACCTAAATAATTATACGAAAACTTATAACGTAAACGATTGTTGGCGTTCTTAAAAATGTTTTACTTTTATGCAAATAATAACGAAAATCTATAAGTTATGTGTCCAATTTTTCCCAAATAATTTGTACATTTATTATTTATGCTAATTTACGAGAAAATATAATACAATTATACATTTTTATTTTTTAAAAAAAAATAAACACAAAATAAATTAACGATTAACGTTAATTAATTGATTTTATTTTTTATGATAATTATAAGTGGTAATAAAAATAAAACGGTTAGTGGGATTCACAGTACACAAATTTGTGGTCATGAAATTATAAATTATATATATAAATATATATAAATAAATCGACATTTAGTTTGTATCGTTGGTGCATGTGCAATCCCTGAAAACGCCTAAGATTCAAAACGTTTTGGTTTTGTACGATTTCTTTCCCCGCCGCTGTTCTATTCGCTAGCGGACGACCGCAGTCTTAGTCAAATAGATGACAATGATAATAATAATGTCGCATTTTATTAATCATCCGAACAATGAAAACGCATTCGTTTCCGTCGACTCTTGCATGTCGTTCCGGTTATCAGGTTGGTGATCGTATAGCCAGGGCTGTAGCAAAAAGGACTAGAGGTTCCTACGCCCCGGGCGCAATTCCTGTGAGGATGCAAAAATTAAAAATTTGCAATTTAATTGTTATAAGTAGGGAACGGATTTATATGTAATAAAAATACATAAATATGTACATATGTATGTAAGTATAATTTATAAAATATGTAATAAAACCATCCAAATATGTAGGAAAAAAATTTAAAAAAAAAAAAAATTATAATTATTAAATTATCAAAATGATTTGTTGCATTGAATAATTACAATATATTTTAAATTATCAAATATTAAATGTCGCCTATTAGATCTGAAAATATTTTTAAAACGGCTAAATGATCGTTCCACATCAACCTACATCGGTTGATTTAAGCATATTTGAAGGGCATATTATTAGAAGGCGATAATTCCACATTTTTAGAAGGGTGTCTGCCACTAATTATGTCATTAATTGATTTAAAATCAATATGGCCTGAAATTTTTTTCTGTAAAAACATGAATTTTCTTTTTTACTATTTCTCCTATTGGTCCGTTTACGAGTTTTCATTTTGCAATCGTTGATTCCACAATTTGCATACTTTCATTCAAGGACATATTTTTGTTTCTAATTTTTTAATTGTATGTGCAATAAAACTAAAATTCATTAAGATGAAAATTAAATTTGTTTTCAATGTTTCATTTTGCATAATATTTTGAGCTTTTCTAATAGAGATAAAAGTTCTGGATCTAAATTTGAAATAATTTTTGTATTTTTGTACGAAGAAGACGTATGAATGATGAAATAATAAAATATGTTTAAAAATATTTACAAATTAGTGAAATATGTAAAAATATGTAATTATACCAAAATATGTAAAAATATGTAAAATAAAAGTAGCATCATATTAATAGGAATAATTTAAATCATGAACATTTCTTATCAAATTTTAAATATCTCGTTTTAATAAAAATATGTATTTACATATAAATCCGTTCCCTAGTTATAAGTTATAACTTATTACATATAAGTAGCATTTAGTGTTTATGTATTTTATGAACTTTGTAATTTGTAAATATAATTATGTTATACCTATGTACCTACATATATTTATATTTTAATAAGTTAGTGGTTTAAATAAAATTGACAAACGCCTAAATAATTATAAAGAAAAATCATTATTTATATTGTGTTAGAAAAAATATTCAATTTTTTCGTGAGTTTTTTTTTTGTAAATTAAAATACATAAGAACGCATTTTGAAGTTTCACCCCGGCGCAATATTTAGTTGCTACGGCCATGCGTGCAGCCAGGGGTGGAACTAAGGGGTGGAAGAGGGAGATTCATTCCGGTCGTAAAATTTTAGAGGGTGTAATTTTTGTAGTTATTAACAACTAATTTGATATTTTTAACTTTGTTAAATACTGATTTTAGGTTAAAACTCAATAAGTATGATTGTATATTAATTATTAGGAAAACATTATCGAGAAAAGTACTCGATTATTGGTCTATGACAGGGCATAATTTTAACATTTTCTCCGGACGTAAAAATTCCTATTTCCACCTCTGCGTGCAGCAGACATTTTGTCCGTTCGTAACGACAGCGACCAATCCAACACAATTTCTCGGCACGCAATACGCGGCCGATAACAATATCCTTATTATTGTTGTCCTTTGGCCGCCCGCGCCGACGGTTGCCAATGTCGGCGGTTGTAATGTCCAACACCACGCTGTGTGGTCCCCGTCGACCGCGGCTGTGAGACGGTGTGGTCTGCGTTCGATTACTTAAAAGGGACACCTGTACGCGTAATAACCGATCCCTTTTCTCCTCCTTTCCCGACGAAACGTTATTATTATTATTCGGGGATGTTTATCTCGATACATTCGTTATCCGCAACAACACAATACGCGCGTCTGTTCACATCTTTTGAAATATCGCGCGCAACAGAGTTGTTTTCCAATGTTTTCTTTTGACTTCCAACAACACGCCGCGCCCTTTTCGTTACGCGCGCCACGCATAAAAGTCCTCGTCGTGCCGATTATCGTTGTTACCGCCGCCGCCGTTAATACACGTATCATCTGTACCATCAGCGTTACCATTGTTATTGTTATATTGTCAAGGCTACCACCGCTCGACAGCGATCATTGGGTGCCGATGGCGCGCGTGTGGTCGACGGACCGTACACGTTATAATCGGTTCGAGATACCGAAAAAAAAAAAAAAAAAATCAAAAACACCAAAGAGAAGAGCCCCGACCGGGGAACGCTTTTTTCCGACCAGTCGGTCATGATGCGTTGAGCACATCGAGACACGTGCAAAGAGGTTTAAAAGCCGCGTTAGACCGGTACGGGCTACCTATTGGAAACAACAATGTGCACAACGTTTACAATAGTCTAACGATGGTTTCAGCGAAACGATATTGTAATTTAAATGCGTGTGCTCCGAGGGGTCGCGTACCGCGTAACATAAATATTAGTTAATTTTCGCAAAACCAACCGGAGCGTTCAAAATCGCACAACCTCCATAATCGCTACACCGATAAACCTCGGTGTCGGACCATATACGGCGAGCTTTCCAACTAATTTCGCAAAGGTGTGCGTACCTTCCGTCGGCTATCAGACGTATAACTCGCGGTGGGTAGGGAGAGGCGAAGCCGTCGAAAACTTCGCTAGTATAACTACGTCCATTACTTTAACACCAGCAAAACCTTCCGGTTAATTACCATCGTGGCCCGTTCAATCAGTCTAAGTGGCCTGGCGCGTTTTACTTCTCCGACGAAATCGCTAAAGGAAAAATTCAAACGATCATTGGTTTCAAGTACACAGGACACCGACCCAAATCTCCGAGTTGCGGCTTATGAATTCGTTTCCAACCGATCCGCACATCCCACCAGCGTAAACGACTTGTCCGCTTATCAATTCGGTTATCACTTGTCAATAACTCTTGCTTCGTCGCCGCGCTGACGTTACACGTGCACGCCATATTAAGTCGCAGGCACAGTTTAAAAATTAACGCAGTCGTATATTTTGACGTGTACCTATA